GGTATGAATTTCAAATGTTAGAAGGATTCTAGGTTGGGATATTTTTCCCTGATACACTTCTATCTACTAACCTTTAAATATGATAAATAGAAATGTGCCATTTACATCCTGTTCTTAGGAGGGATTCAGTGGTAGCAAGGTTTTGGCAAGGTCTTTCTGCTATTTCCACAAAGCATAATGCATTATGATTCCTAATGTATCCTGGAGAGAGAAAAAAAAAAAAAAAAGCTGAATACATAAAATGAAGATGATTTTTGGGGGGAGGGTGGGGGTGAAAGGTTTGATTTTTATTTTTTTTTTCTATTTTATTTTTCCTATTTCATCAGTTTGTGACATACAGAAATTTACATTCTTTCAGATGTGATTTTGAATTAGACAAGTTCTACTGTAATGTCAATGAAAATAGAGAATTAAATCCTCAGTCTTTGGAAATTGGTTGAAAAGCTGAGGCATATGTGATCATCAGTATACATTGTATGTAAATTGCCTTGACCTGGTTTGTTTAAAAAGAAGTTATATTTTATGTCAGTACAATAACTTCTGGACTTACTTGGTTATGGATCTTAGAGAGGCTATGCTATTTCTCTGTTTTTATTGCTGAGTTTGATTACTTGGGTAGACTACGATAATTAAAAGAAAAAGTTATTTAGGTGCAACATATTTAGTCTCTGATTTAGAAGCACACACCTTACCTTCTGGGGGGGGAAAAAAAAAGTATGCAGGTTTTACAGAGAATCACTGTAGTTGGGCAAAACCTCAGAAACCTTGTGCGTTCTCTGTGTACTCTTGTGGGCGAAATCTCCAAAATCTTTGTGCAGCCTCCTCCAACCTCAGCTTGGTTTGGTATACGGACTTGGGTCTCTTGTTTTGCTTTTGAGAACATGGGCTTGCGGCCAGAATGTTACAACTCAGAAGAATGCTTGATATATACTCGGCTTAAACATATCTGAAACAAAGCACTAGAAGCAGGATGGTGCAGTTGCACCTAGAGCAACACAGGTGCTCCTCGGTGCCTTTTCTGAAGAGCCTCTTTCAGCTGCTGCCAGCCTAATTTGCCCAGATGGCTTTTTGTGTGAAAACCTATTTAACCCCAATGTTACTGTGCCACCTTTTGGCTTGAGGATATCTCAAACTAAAAAAGACTGAAGTTATGTGTGGCAGTTCTGGCCCTGAGCGCTGTTTTGGTAGTGTGTGAGCAGGGAGGTGTGTTGGAGCCTGGCTGGTTGAAGGTGCTCTGCTGGCCAGTGAATGCAATGTAGGAAACCCATAAAGTCGCCCTAAGGAATTTTCTTGAAGGGTCAATGTCTAAGGTACTCCGCTTCAGACTTAGTAATTTGGAATATATCTCTCTAGGAATGATATAATAGAGTCAAGAACAATTTAGCTGAAAGAAGCCTGTAAGACAACTAGAGTCTGTATAAAGATTAATTCATCAAAATGTCTTACTAGACTGTTGTGCTTTATTTAAAAAAAATACCTGTAGGATAGCCTTGGCTTTTTCACTCTAGCTGTATACAAAACATTTTATAATCAATTCTGCTGTTCCAGAGGTTTGCTGGATTTTGATGTAAGGTCTTGGGCTGTAATAATAATGGAGAATAATTTGTTCTGATGAAAGTATCTCTCTAGATTGCTGGTTTCAAATGTGAAGACAGGTTCATGCCTTTTCTTTGAAAAATACAGATTTGTTCTTGTAAAAGTAGGATGTTCTGTTGTTTAGTAGCTTAAATTTTATTGAAATGCACAAAACCTCTTTCATTTTAGGGGTACCAAGTGCCATCATAAATTATACTCAGTATTCAAATGCTGCCTCTTTTTTGAAATGGGAGGTGAAGTTCATGCAGTTATTAGTGCAGGAAAACAATGCCCATCAGGCTGAAAAGGAGGTTTGCACCTTTTTCACTGCAGAATATAAGCTGCAAAGTCAAATCAATGTAACATAATGGCCCGCAGAATTGTCTGGTTTTATCTACAAAATAGATTTTTGCCCCATTTACCCAGAAAGTCACAGCGCACCCTGTGCTGCCTGTGACCTTCTTTCTTTGTGAGCAATCTAAGAATTGCAGTGGAGTGAGTTAAAACATCATAAAAAAAGACCACACAGTAACTTGTTACTGAGTCCTAGGTCTGCAGTGTGAAATGTAGGTTTAATTTATGCAAGAAGAAAAAGTTGAATGTTTGTTTAAGCCCTTCGAGGTTTTTACAAGGGAACCTTTTTAGACTGAGCAGATGAAAAGTTGAAACAATCAATAAATAATCACTAAAAACTTTCCTGCTATAAGTAGGCATAAATTGTGTGTTGAAAATCATAGTTTTTATAAGAGAGGTAGAATTTTGCAATGAAAGAATGAATTAATAACTTACACTTTTGGTACATAAACAATTCCAGGAAATTTTTGCAAAGCAGCAGATGCATTGTAAAAAAAATTCTCTTGGAAAATGACATTTGCCAATCTTGCCCATCTCTCCATGTTGAGAGGGATGCTTTAAACAGTGCTCAGGAAGGTTGGGGCCCTTTGCAGTCAAGTAGTTCTTATTTCAAATGTGCTAAAATTAGCAGGGAGCAGTGTACTTTACATGAGCCTGTGCTACATGGAAATGGTGTTGACTGCGTGGACCCAGCGGTAAATCTGGCATGCTATCAGTTTGCTCTTTCACATGTGCATGCACGCAGACGTACATGTGCACACATACAATCTCAGTGTGGTGTTTACTGAGGAACCTGGCTCAATAGCTGTTACTTGTAAGTCCTTGCATTCGTGCTAAGATTTGCATTTAGTCAAGGAAAGAAAGATTTTGACCACTGATATTTTGTATTAGATATTTAAAAATAATTTACATGTTGTCTCAACTTTGTTCATCTTCCACTTTGTTTAATTATATAAAATGGTGAATCATGATACCCTATTAACTGTCATAAAAAGCGTAATGCCCCATTACCCATTACCTCCTGCAGTATATATTTATGGGTATGGCAGTGGTTTACATAGATATATACATATTTCTATGTTATAAACTAATCATTGATCACGATACAAATCACCACTGCTAACTTTACGCACAATTTTTATATAGGTAAAATGTATTAGTCAATTAAACAGAAGTGTAAATATAGATATTTGCTGTTTATACTTACAATGGCATTTTTTAAAGGAAGTAGACTGTTAAATCATGTTGCCGTAACAAATGCTGAAGGCTGCTTTTTTCATTCATTGCCATTGAATTTATTGTCAGAGCAGTGCAGTCATATCCCATTTCAAGATTACTTAGGTGGCTTGAAAATTAAATCACAGCTCACAGATTCTCTTTATTCACACACGGTTAATAATAGTAAAATTGGGTCTAGTTTTAAATATACCTTGCAAGATATTGCAGTGCAGTTAGATGCAACAACTATGAAAGATTTAGTAAACAGAATGTGATTTTTCCATATACTAACAGTGAATTGGATAAAATAAAGTTGCTGTCAATGTATGTAGAATTATTTTCAAAAGGATTATATCGATATAAATTTTGTTAGACTCGGACAGTGTGGGGTTTTATAAAATCCTCAAATTACTTTTTTTTTTTTTTTTTTTTTTTAAAATGTCAAAAGCCTGACTGTTTATGTCTAATCAGCTAAATGATCCTTGCTTATTCACTTCATCTGAGCTAGATCTCTTATTTCTATGCACTGTTTTGCAGTGTTTCTCCTAAAAGGTCATCTACAAGACATCTCTAAAAAGCAAGACATCTTGCAGTTTTACTTACTGGTAGGCTTGGAGCGCATTTGATGTGCTTCTGGAGTGAAGGTTCTGGTCTGGTGAAAATCTAGGGCTGCTCTGCAGACTGACTGAAAATCCTAGTGGAGACACAGCTTGTATGCATCTGATTTGTTTCTAAATTTTATTCAGGTGCTCAGGCAAGCCTCTTAATATCATTTCTTGTGTATATGTTGTCAATAGATATATTAATCTCTGAAGGCCTCCAAAAGAAGATGTGATTTCATAATTTTAAGGCCACAAGGTAGACAGGTCCCTTTGAAGGCCTTCAGACATTTGTGAATCGTGTGCATGGTAGCTATGTTTGGTCCAGGGTGCCAAACTATAGTCTGAAGTGAAACCTTCAACCTGCATACATAGATAAAGCACTAGCAACTTTAATCTACTGATTGTCTCCTGATGCACTGAATTACTTGTTAATACATGAAAAACCCTGGTTTCTAGTTTGGCTTTGTTTTCTATTCTACACACCCCCACACCCGCCCCCGCCCCCCGTCTCAACTGCTACTGTCTTTACTTCAGTTCTCTAGGTTTTTTCCTAATCTGGAACAGTGAAGGCCAAAAGTGTTTCTAAATTTCAGAAGAAGGGTTGGTTATTCATATTGCTAGCAAAAAAATACTCATTAATATTTCTCTTTTGGAAAAGATACTAGTTTCGCGTAGTCTGATACAGCTGGTCACGCAGGGATTTGGGGGAGGAGCACAGGATAGCTGCTGCAGGATGGTTTTTAGTGGCATCTTCTAAACTACACGGTGCTTGCCACTCTGAAACAAAATTCAGAAATATATTGATCTCAGACATTATACAGCTTGATAGTCAGTTCTCAACACCTTGCTACTTGGGGTTTTTTGCTTGTTTTCAGTCTTCCTTGAATAAAATACTATCAAACATTTGATGTCATGTGTTTGGAATGGGTTGAAAAGTAAATCAATCGGTTAAAAATTAAATCATTTTAGCCTTCATTGTTAAATTATGTAATGCTTCTGCTTTTTGTTTGGCATATATATTGTTGTTTTGTAAAGGAGCTACTTTGTGCAACACAGATAAACTAATTTGAGTGTTATTGCTGCTTCTTTTTCTTCAATTGCAAATCAGTTAAGGTAATAAAATAAGCTTCATTGGAAACATTGACTGAACTGTAATAGCTGAAATAATTTCCTTACACATTCTTTTTGTTATACACAGAAAGAAAGATATATGACAGATTTTAAGTTTAATTTAATTATTTTTTTTCTTAGTGATCTTAGTGAAAATCAGATTCAAGCGATACCAAGGAAGGCATTCCGAGGAGCAGTAGACATAAAAAATCTGTAAGTATTTTCCTCCTTCTTGCATGTATTCTGGTGGTAATGCTTTGTCAATGCAGTGTCTTTTGTTGTACGAGATCTCTTTTTCCTAAGCACTTTTACAGCTGCTTAAGGAATCTCTGCATAAAAACAACATGTACCATTTGTTTTGGCAAAATACTTTAACCTATATCAAGCCTCCTAAAATTGCCCTATATGAAATCTAAAATATTGAAATGGAATTGAATATAACAAGGCATTATAACTGTTTGCTTATGGTAACCTGAGTTTAATATTTGAATGTCAGGCTATTTTAAACATTTCATTGTTTTTGTGTGGAAAATTCATTTTGCCTTGGGTCTAAGTGTTTGCCTTTTGTTAGCTTGCATAAAAGAAAGAAAAATCATGCTATTATCTAGTTTTGCTAGCATGTATTTTTTTACTTGTGTGACTACTTTTCTTACACAGTTTTCGCCTCTGGTAAAATAAGTCTTTTCTAAAAGACAGATACTCGCTTTCCTCAAAATAGTGACCCTAAAGTTCATGGGCAAGTTTTGAATTCTCAAGTTTCTAAATGTGGAAGCATGTGAGTTTCAAGACAAAGGGAAGCACTGACTTTTCGACTTTCTGTTTAAAGTGGTGGATCAGGTTAGTGGACTGAAAGAGCTGAACAACCTGAAGACTGTGATGAACTTGTATAGTGGGAAATATAAGGTCATGCACTCAAAAGCTGTAACCCCTGCTGTAAGCTGAGGAATCATCACTTAAAAACAACCAACAAAGACAGAGGATGTATACTCCTGGGTTCCAGGAAGACTGTGGAGCTTCCAGGATGATGCAGCTGTGAAAAAACTTTCTTTTTTTTTTTGCTTTCTTATGTGGCATTAATGAAAATAGGGAAGTATCAGGCCATAATATGAGCTTTTCATGTAATTTCTGTTGAAATACTTTTATTAATTGACATTACCAGTGTTAAAGAAAGATGAACTTTCTAGCTGTATAATTTTGAAAATGGAGTGCTCGGTGATTATGCAGGAAATGACATGATGTCATATCCCCAAGTAGGAGGGGACAGGACAGGAAGCCCTTTGCATTTCTGTCTTCCTGTGGTAGACTCCACTCCATTCTGCTGCCCACACCACTGCACAAAAACCAGTTACGAGGGTGTTTTTTCAAAGATTTAGCAGAATGCCCAAGAGTTTGGCCTAGCTGATAATGATATCTGGATTTTAATTTTTTTTTTAATTTAACCATGTTTGTGATGATTATGCCCCACTATGAGGTCCTACCACAGCTCCATCTCAATGGAAAAACTGTTGTGTTCAAATCTATTATGTTCAAAAACATGCAAGTGCATCTCAGAGTAGCTTTGTTACTTTGTTTAACTGATGTTTTATGAGTTTCTATTCAGAACTGGTCTCATCATTATTCATGGTCTAAAAGAGGCTTGATTGCAAGGAGAAGCCTGCATTTTTCTGCATGATCTTTTATATTTGAAAATTGATGCAGCTACAGAAAGGAACTTTGGTAATAAAAATAACAGCATTATCAAGGCTTTTCTAGTGACAGGGCAGTATTTTAGAATGTAATAAGTATACTTATACATTGTGAGATAGTTCCAGTCAGAAACTTAATTAGGATAACAGTCTTTAGCTAAGATAATATTTATATCTTGGTGTCCATTTTCAAAGTAAAGATCCTGAATTATATCTAAAACATGTATAAAACAGTAGATCTGCCCTTTAAAGCCTTTCTCTTCTGGGAGATAGTAAAAAAAAAAAATCATAAAGACCATAGCATTGCCAAAATATTCCAAATCATATCTGTGGCATATAGTTTATTGTGATAGCATAAGTCCTACAGATACATCCTTTATTGGTGGTACCAGGGGAAAAAAAGGAAAAAAAAAAACCAAAACCAAACCCTAATCTGAAATCTTTGTGATCCCACTACAATTGAAAGTCCTAAGAAATACATTTATCTGTCTTGTAAATGCTACCTACGTTCTGGTCATTTGGGAAGAGCGCCTTCTATTGGGTCAGGTATAGATGTGAGCAGCAGAATGCTGCTTGAGTTTGTGGGGTGAGTGGGGTGGATTCTAGCACAGCATTTATGTAACTAGATCAGGGAGTTGAGCCTTTCCAGAATCTTAGGCAGGAAGGAGATTTGAACTCTAGCCTTCCATCTGGCCTTGACATTACACTTAGAGAAGGGTGATGGCAAGAATTGTACTATTTTTATTTCACTGTTCAAGAATTAAGGAGACAATTGTTGAGTGATAGGTGTAAAAAGCATCACTCTGCAAATAAAGAAAATTACAAAGTGAAGGAATTTAGCATCTATTGGGCAATTATCCTAAGGTCCAGGAACCAAATATTTGTGTATACTTACTGAGAACTGTGGGAACAGAATGCAATATTTGTTCTAATTTCAGCATTTTTTCTGTAATTGCCTAGTAATTGGGCATAATGTTAAAGCTGTTAACCAAACGGTGGAGGTACAACCTGTATTAGAAAATGATGTAAAATCTGGATTTGCTTTGTGTACCAACATTAATTACATCAATGCCAATATAAGAGACTTTTTTTTTTAGATGCAATGAGTGGTAACCTTCCCACACAGTGACTCTAGTAAGCTGTTTCAAAGGCAGTTAACAAATCTCACAGAAGTTGACCTGATTATATATTTTATTTTCCTGAATGGAGACTCACCATTATTTCACTCCCCCTAAATATTTACCCATCCAATTCAGGAGTTGGAATATTTTGGAAAACATTTTATTGTATCCAAAGACTGTACTTCAAGTTTTCGCAGACGAATTAGATGGTAAGGCAGATTATCTGAAGGAAATTGCTTCCTTTAAGGTTGATGATACCACGATGATCTTTTGATTTCCTGCAAATATGTTAGCTCTAGAGTTCTCTTGATGTTTCCCAGAAGAAGCTGCCTAACTTCCATAAAATGTGGCCTTGATACTTCCTTTCTGGACATCATCTTAATAGCGTTCACAGTATAGATTCTGTAGAAGATAAAAGCAAAATGGGCAAGGTATTATGAGAATTGACAACCCAGGAAACCTGCCACACCCTTACAGTAAAAAGAACAAAAAAAACCCCACAAACTTACTTTATATCTAATTAGAATTTCCTATTTTCCAACTTGTTTCTTGCCTCTTGACTTACAACTGAGGAGAGTCTGGCTTTGTCTCTGTCTTCCCTTTAGGCAGTTGCAGGCAACAATAAGATCACCCCTTCACCCTCTCTTCCTTCTTAAGGCTGAACAAATGCAGTTCTTGAACCCTGTCCCTGAATGTCACCTGCTCCAGCCCTCCCGTCTTGGTGGTCCTGGTTGGAGTCAGCCCAGTGTGTCAATGTCTATCTTCTACTGGAGAGGCTGAGACTGGATGTGCAACTCAGATGCCATCTCACAAATGCCAGATAAAGCGTCCAGGCTTCATTCTCACCTATACAGCCCAGTTGTTTGTAATGAATCAAGTCCTTCAGAAGTGACAAAAAATTAAGGAAGCTGATTTTGTACAGGCTTTGCAGACTTGGAAGCCCAGTATCCAGTGTTTTATCAGTTCAAATGTAGGCAAAAAACTAGCTGCTCTGTCTCAGAGTCTTGATTTTCCTGTTCCAGGGAAATGACTTGAAGAATAGTCCACTTTTAGTATAGCTGCTAATCTGGGGCTTGACAGAAATTAGGGTGCAAATTCTGGAAACATAATTCTGAAAGTTCCTCCTAACTTACTACTTCTTCAGGGAGAAAAATATGCACCAAGGAGTTAGGTTCTTCCAAGAACACAGTGGCACCCACTGTTTTTTAAAAATAAATAGAAATTATCATATAAATTGGAAATTAAACACAGATTTTTTTAATATACATGTTAATGATGGTTTCATAACCCTCCCTGGTGATACAGTACTCACACTGGATGTGAAAGATGTTTAAAATCTCCCCAACCTCAGGAATTTTATTTGTATTTAAGATGGTAAGCAAATGCTTTAGCTGCACAGATTATAAGTTTGGATGGGTTGTTTATTGAATCTGGTTGCTAGGAAGAAAAATAATTGGCCTTAAGAAGCAAACAAATGTGAAACACTGCTGAAAGAACAATAGCACTATGCTCAGTTTTTGAGAAGTAGAGTTTGTCCCCTGCTCTGATGATTTTGTTGAAATTATGTTAAGATATTTCCATTTGAAGTGTATAAAATTTTCTAAGATTCTAGCTTCCTATTCTGCTGTGTAATCAATAGTTGGCAGAAGATGGAAAGGAATATCCCAAAATCATGGCAGACTTGTAATGTGCTAAATATGTGCAACATCAGATGATACCAAACGTACTAAGGAACATTTTAATCATATCTCCTGCAAGTATCTTGTGCCCTGTTTGTCTTGTCATGGTCTGGCCTTACTTCAGGCTACCCTCTTCTTTGGTGCCTCTGTGTTCATTAGGTTCCATTTTTTCCTAGCAAGTGGGGGACGCTGTAGCTGTCACCCCAAGGGTAAAGGCTGCCGGGCAGTGTGGTAGCTTCACAGGTTAAACTGGCTGGGAAAATGGAGAATTAGTGAAGAGGGGGACAGACACCAGCATCCACTCAAAGTCCTTCCCATTACACTAACTTTTGTCTAAAACTTTGATTAATATTAGTTGGTGTTACTCTGATGACTCTTCTTCACCTATTGTGAAAGATTTAAAACTGACATTGTCACTAAAGGCATAACTGAATTTTGTATTAATCTTCCTTGGCAATGATGGGACTTTTTTTTTTTAAGTTCAGTATTATTAGCAGTTGATAACCACGGAGTCCTGCTTAAGATAATTTCTCAGATTATGCACAAAATTCCACTGCAACCAGAAGTATATTTGTCTACCCACCTGCACAAGTGCTAATCCAAATGCATGGCTTGTCTAAGACATGCTTTAATAATTTAGAACTGGCATATTTCTCATGCTGGTTCTTAACGGGAATCTTAAGTCAACTACTAGGGCTGTTCAGCCAGCTGTGTTTCAGGTGTACATC